ATAGCATAGGCCCCAAACCCACCCCACTAATTCCCGATATGGTGACAACCAAAATTGTTGCTATTTGTTGTTGAGTCCATTGAAACTCATATTGTCCATATAGGACAGAGTAGAATTGCCCTATGATGTCATCGGCTGGAAATCCTTATGGAAGCAGTTCGCATCTTTTGACTGGTGGCATGGCTTGTGGTGTGTTAGACCATATGGTTAGCAGCTGAGTGCCTTGCCTTTGTGTCCTAGAACTTCTGAAACCAGCTCTCAGGTTGCCAAACATCCCTTTGGAGGGAAAACTGGCCTTGTTTGGGAGCCACGGGCCCAAGTGAACGCATAATTTCTCACTGGACATTTCTGAACAACAGTGAGTATGTTAGGTTTGTATAAAGAAATTATCAAGGGCACAATTTATGAACAGAGTAGACATTTTAATGAAAGCAATGGTCCTGCCATTCCATATTTCTCCAAACAATGATATATTTACAGACCCCAAAATAAATGTACATTTTAAATGCGTATCATGATACAGATTTTGCGGTTGAATAAGAAAAGAATTTCTCTGTGGCTTTTAAAATAACCTCCATGATTTAGAGTACAAATTATGTAGCGATAAACATTCAGCAATTGGGAGTAAACTCACTTTAAAATGACAGATATGGCAAAAACCAAGCTAAACCCGTTGCCAGGGCATCAATGCACAAACTAGCAGTGACTCTATAGGATATAGCAGAACTAGCCCAGAGGGTTTCTAAGACTGTCTGTCATCTTTACAGAAGCATACTGTCATGTCACTTCTTTCTTCTGCAGAGTGGCTGGTAAGTCTTGAACCACTGAGTTTTCAATTCACAGCTGACCACTTTAACTACTGTGCCACCCAAGCAAATGAAAGACACTTAGTACCCAGTAAAGGTCATGAAGCAACATTATTTATGAAAGGATTTCCTATAAGATCTAAACTGGAAACCCTAATCTTACTATATATTCACAATCATTACAATTTTCCAATATTTAAAAAATACATGAAAGGAAAATATCCCTAGCTAGCTAGCTATAGAACAAGGAGAATTTAGCTTTTCTGTTCTTCTTTTTTTGACAGTTTGTAAACTTTTTTTGTGTGGAGAATTTAGGTTTTCAAGAATACCATGTGAATGATTTCTTCTCCCTTATAAAGTTGCACCTTGAGGCGCTATAAAGCTAGCAAAACTTTTTTGTTAGTAGACAACAGCTTGAAGTATAGGTTTTCATTTTTTAAGGAACAATTAATTACAAACTTTTTATAAAAGTTGAAAGGCACAATGAAACCAGTTTAGAACTCAAAATATTTCAGGCAACTCATTCAGAATTCAAATAATTTAGGTGCCAGCACCTAATTTGTCCTGTAGGTGGCGAAAGAATCTTAAAATGAGGCCAGGGCAGGATTCAGAAGTGAAGCCCTGAGGTCAAATTGGCAGGTGACTTAAAACTTGATGTAAAGCACAATTTTTAAAAAGTTTCTTTAAAAACGTTTTGCTTAATTTTACAGATTTAAAGTTATTTTCTCTACATCCGTGCATTAATGAAGATTTATTGTCTGGATAGTCAACACTGATATACAGAAATAGGTTTTCTTCTTCAGGAACTAGATTTTCAATATGATAATTACCCCTAACAATTTTATTTTTGCTCTTGTTGTCCAACGGGGGTTTAGATAGCCCAATTTAGATTGGCTATCTAAGAGAAGTTTTGCAATTGATTACGTGTTGTGACCTGGCTGCTAAGAAAAGCAGCAAGCTGTAAACTGTAACTTAAAGGAAGCATAGAAGATCAGGTTTCACTTGGCTTTACCTTTTCAAAATTACCAAGGAAGAATCATAAGCAAGACTTTTAAGAAGTAATGGATGTTTATTATAGAAAACTTGGGGTATCATTATTATGACGACATTGATGTGTACGGTATAAATCAGTTTATAAATTACTGGAATGAAAAAGTCAACACTAGCCAAATAACCCTTCATGGTGAGGAGTTGATATCACTAGACTTCAGAGCTTCTCTGCTTTCTTTCAAGATAGAAACTTATTCTCTGTCCTTGATTTGCCATTAAAGAGCCAGACATGAAAAATAACCAGGACTGTCAAATTAGGACTGTTTGTGGGCACTAAGTGTACAATTATATAAAGTCTTAGTTAAGACTCAGCACGAAGGAGAGAATTGAGTACGCCAATGCCATTAGTTTGGAAATATTGGCATAGCACAACTACGAAAAGGTAGGGGAAGAATGAAAAGAACAAATAAAAATTTAAACGATTTTAGTTATCATAGTGGTGGTGGGTACATCAGTATTGCTATTCTCAGACTGTTGAACATGTGATGCAGATAAATCAATGAGTCATTATGGTTATTCTACCATCATTCATCATTCCCTGTGCCTTGGCAAACCAGGATGCTTCCTCAGGAGAGAGAGATGGAGATGAAGATGTAAAACAGAGGTGAAATAAAAACCCTGTCATACTGGGTTTGACTTAGAAGTATCAAAGCAAACTCAGAGTTGTTTCCTAACTCTTTCCTAAAAATAATGACCAACCAGTACCAAGGAGCCTAGATCAGCAGTTCTCAACCTGTGGGTCACGACCCCTTTGGGGGGGTTAAATGACCCTTTCACAGGGGTCACCCGATTCATAACAGTAGCATAGCTACAGTGATGAAGTAGCAACGAAAATAATTTTATGGTTGGGGGGGTCACCACAACATGAGGAACTGTATTAAAGGGTAGAGGCATTAGGAAGGTTGAGAACCACTGGCCTAGATTACGGCTTTGAAACCCTTTTTCACTGAAAGAAAAAAAAATTAATAAAACAAAACCTGGCTTCTTGGGGAAACCGTAGATTCCACATCTGGGATAGGAAATCTATGTTGCTTTTGGAAAGCTGGCCATATGAGACAACAAAGAAGTGATTAAACGTTGCTAGGGTAGTGTCAAAAGACTCTGTGTCAACTTGCTGAGGCTCTCCAGGGGAAAGTAAAACCTTAACTAAAGGAGTATTTGCAATGGACTGATGCCTATCAAGTACATTGGATCCATGAGATTGTAAGAAAAGCAAAAGGGATCTCTGGAACGTAAGAAGAAAATTAATTATCTTGAAAATTGGCAAACGTGGGGAAATCAAATATTTTCCCTTTCCTATATAAGGGGAGCATCTCTCTTTCAAAATCATTCTAAATAACAAATGAAAAAGAAATATGGAATAAGAATATTCTGCAACTAATAATGAATTAATGGATCTATGCAATGAGTATCCACTTTGGCAACCAGCCCCCAAATACAATCAGAATTATGTGCCGTAGGAGGAATGAACATACAGGGACCTATAATCTTGTCAAAGAATTGAACCTGAGCCTGTTCCAACCTCTGAATCCACTTGTCAATATTGAGAGGACAGAGCAACATGATGAAGCGCACCATGAGGCTGCAATCAGCAAAATACAAATTGTGAGAAACTAGACGCCGTAAGATCTGGATTCATTCACAAGCAAAAAAGAAGTAAAAGGGAGGAATCTGTAGATGCAAGAGAGACGTAAAAGACATGTGAAATAGAATACTTTCAAACACGTTAGATGAAATAAAGTATCTGGAGAGTCACACTTGAGTGATAACATGATAGAGGAATCTCAAGTAATTATAACCCTGAAAGTCATTGTGGTGATTGCTTGGGGGGGGCGGGGGGAGGCTGGCAGCAACTGCTGTAATACAGATAGGCTGCATGAGGGACATCTGGGGTGGCTGGCAGAGCTCTGAATTTTAAGAGGGTTTCTTAACTAATGTAAAAATTGTGCATTTTGTGTGTGGTTCTCAGTATTTGTGTTTTGCCATATAAATTTTTAAAAGGTTAATAGTAAAAAAATTTTTTTAAAAACCCAAAGCCCTTAGAGTTCTTTCACGAAAACCTAAGGATTTGGACACTTTCAGTTAGAAACATTAGCTGATGATTCTTAAGAAACGATGAGGGCAATGAATGTACAAATGTGCTTTACACAATTGATGTATATATGGATTGTGATAAGAGTTGTATAAGCCCCTAATAAAAAGATTTTTTTAAAAAGAAACTGACTAAATTATAGCAGTATTTCTAAATGATAAGCTACAAACATTTGAAATATATAATATTCAGTTCCTTTGTGTGCATATTCATAAGAAGTCAAAGAATTAAATATACAATTCTAACACAAAATTGTTGGCCTTATTAGGTAACACAGCTGGGTTACATAGACTTTATCAACTTCCTACTTTCCTAGAAAAGTTTCTTTCCTACTTCCAGAAAAGTTATTTATGTTACTGTATTATGAACTAGAACATAAGTGTTGGAATATATTTTGCATTTTCTTGAATGTCCATACATTTTTCACTCCATATTGTTTTATATAGAACAACTACCGTATCTTGTCTAACCAAAAAGGTACTTACTGATGTGTAACATGACATAGTATCATCTAGCTTGCAAATAAAACTCCATAAAGGGAGCATTAAAAAGTCCATGGAGGGCAGAGGGAGAGTGGGTAGGAAAGAGGGAACCAACCGATTACAAGGAACTATATGTGACCTCCTCCCTGGGGGACGGACAACAGAAAAGTGGGTGAAGGGAGACGTCGGACAGGGCAAGATATGACAAAATAACAATTTATAAACTATCAAGGGCTCATGAGGGAGAGGGGAGCGGAGAGGGAGGGGAAAAATGAGGACCTAATGCCGGGGGTTTAAGTGGAGAGAAAATGTTTTGAGAATGATGAGGGCAATGAATGTACAAATGCGCTTTACACAATTGATGTGTGTATGGATTGTGATAAGAGTTGTATGAGCCCCTAATAAAATGATAAAAAAGTCCATGGAAAAAGGAAATTAAAAGATCATGGAATTTTCCCACAAAATTTTGAAACCCCCTTGTACAAGCAGGCAGTCTGCAGGTTATACACAAGACCTGTTCCTTAGTTTGTCTTGAAGCCAAATTTGTGGCTAAGCCCAAACAGGAGCTTTACTCAGTGCAAGAAAAGTTTCAATGCCTTTTCAGTGATTTAAAAACCGCAAGTGCAGCAAGTGCAGGTGTTTGTGCTGAATACTTTGTTGTGAGTAAGGGTTGGTTCAATTATTTCAAGGTGAGAGCAAATTTACATTATATTAAAGGCCAAGTAGAGCAGTATGTACTTAAATCCAAAGGTCTTGGGCCCAGATCTGTGTTCTATTTCATCATAATAATGGTTGGAGACTATTTTTCATTGTTAACTGTCTGTGAAACTCAAGAACACAACGTAGATTTAAACCATCAAAATGAAAGCAGGTTTTAAATGCAATATAACAATTAACATGGACGAACATATAATTGGGTAGTACATTTTGCCCATCAAACACTGACATTTTCCCTCCTTCAAGCAGCATCTCAACAATTGGTGCAATTGTATGGTCTCCTTCCCCTTCCTTTTAATAAAATTATGTGGCGTTTGAATGATTCACATATTCAAGAAGTGACCGGTCTAATACTCTCCTGATAAGAGCTTCCTCAATTATATTAAAATCCTATAATAAAGAAAAATAATTATAAATATAAACCAGAGTCAGTAGTGTTTCATAAACTAAAGGATGATGGTCAATGGAATGAATTTCTTCATTTTATTGGCAGCTAAAACCCTGGTGATGCTGTGGGTTAGGCACTGGCCTAACTACAAGGTTGGTTGTTCAAAGCCACTCGCCTTGGGGGAAAGATGAGGCTGTCTGTTCCCCCAAAGTCTCTGAAACCCTATATAAGGTTGCCATGATTCAGAATGAACTTCGTGGCCATGGACTTGGGTTAAAACACTTTTTACAGAGTCCAGAACTTTTGTTTATGGTTTACCATCTTTTTCTATTTAATTAAAAAATCAAAACCGAAACAAAAAATGACATCTAGTCTATTCCAAATCTTGGGAACAGTCATCTTTCGCTCTTAGAGCGCAAAGTGGGCTCACATCACCAACCATTGGTTAGCAGCCCAGGGCTTACCTACAGTGCCACCTGGGCTCTTTCTAGTTCATCTTTCTGATGATCAGTTAGCCTTTTTCATCACACTATAGTCTTGATCTAACTGGTAGTTTTTAACCAACACTACAAATCCTAGTCCGAGTGTTATACTCCACATAAACAAGTAATTATGTATTCTTAAGTGTTATGTTGAAATTGCCTAAAATGAAAATAGTTAGAATTACGTTAAAATTATATGCAAATTAAAATGGGACCTTTACCATTTCCTGTACAAAATAATTTGTGGAAAAATTCCATTATCTCCCCCCCCCCCAGTATTTTTTAGTTTAATTTTTTTCCACAAACTTCTTGGAACCCCCTTATACTTATAAAAAATCAATACTATAATAAACATAGCAATTGGTGATTTCCCCCCCCCCCCCGCCAAATAAGCAATTCTCATTTGCTTTATAAATTTTATTACTAATATCAAAACAGTTATCTGCCTTGGACAAAATTCTTTTCTTTGTAATCTAATCAGCCATTGAACCAAAAGCCAGGTTTAGCTTTTAAATGATTCATCTACTCTAGCCTCTCCCTGTATATAGTTACAATTTTTATGAAATTGAAAACTCATATAGCAAAGGTGAAATCGCATCAGTAATGAAATGACTAAGAGTATTTGTTCTGTGTACATTTGCTTTTATAGTACTAATAACTAATAACAGAGTCAACCTTATCAATGTAGTAACACAGATGAGCCTTAGGAGTTTTTAGATTTAAAAATATATAAAACACAAAACTCCTGTTTTTTTGAACCTTTTCCAATATAAATATTAATAAGAAAAAATTTTAAAACATTTACAAAAGTCATATAAAGAACCTCTAAATGCTCATTAGCTAACTTTGAGACGTTGAGAACAAGAACACAACTATTCCTATTATATCTAATTTTCCTCTACCATTAAGAAACTTCTTACTGAAAAGTTTTGGTTATGAATTGATGGTTCTTGAAGAAAACTAATGGGTTATGGAGGTTCATTATACTACTTTTGTAAATGTTTAAAAATGTTTTCACATTAAAATTACAATTGTATTCAGGGAAGGCATATTATAGAAATTAAAACAACACTTTAGAAGGTAAACTTGGTTCTTTATTCAGTGATTATGTTGATCACAAACAAAATAATTTTATTCAAAGCAGATAACCATTTTCATATTAATAATAAAATTTATAAAGCATTGGGTTTTTATGATCTCTGACTTAATGGTAGTATTAAACACTTTAGTTATATTCACATTTTACTCTAAACTATTAATCACTTGGATTAAAAAGGTAACTTTGACACAGCATAAAAACATAATGCAATCAGTATACTTACTATGAAATCATCATAAAACATAGTATGGCTGACTTGTAAATGTCTTATTAAACTGCCATTGAAGCTGCTTGCATTCTCATTAGGTAGTAAATGGCAAAGTGGGCAGAACTGAAAATAAACGAGATAAAGCATTCAAGAAAGAATTTGAAATAATTCCTGTGTTTGAATTTTTTAAGGTAACCATTCCATAAGATACATTTTAATGTGATCAATCCACTGGTCATACCTTAGTATGTTTTAAAACTGCATAACTATTATAGGTACATTAAATAAATACAATTATATTTTATAGGAATTTCTTTATCTGAATTTCCCAGCTTTATACAAATAATAGTATAACTATTTGCTTTTTTATTAATTTATTTCTTAAAGAGTACTACAGTTAGTGATTTACTTAACCATCTGCCCATTTAGGTTTTTTTGAATGGGTCATTTTGAGGGTGTTATGTTAGATTTATACAGTACTGTAACCTTTTGAAATTGGATTTTTTTTCATTCATTATCATGATCCTGAGACTTCTTCAAGTGTGTCAATCAATACTCTGTCCCTTTTTAGTGCTAGTCTGAATGTATCAATTTGATTACCCATTCACCCTTTAAATAATGTAGGGTGATTCCAATTTTTAACTATTATAGATGAAACTGCCATAAATATTTGTGTATGGATCTTTGCAGGAATGAAAACTTTTACTTCTTTAAGATAAATTTCTAGACACGTGATTGCTAAGTTCTAAGATAATGTAAGGAACTCTTACCCATTGAGATGGCGCCAACTCATGTAAGAAACAACTGAACCATTTTTCAGAGGGCTGTACTGTTTTAAAATCCCACCCTTAAGGTGGGTTTGATCCAAGTTTCCCTCATGCTCACTATCATTTGTTACTGTCTATATAAATATAGCTATAATATATGAATGCATATACAAAGAGCATGTGGAAAAATTGAATTAAAAGATGATGGGGAAAATGAAAGGTAATGGAATTGTTCTAAGAGCTCTTTCAAGTTCCTGCTTGCATGTATGTATGTGTGTGTGTGTGTGTGTGTGTGTGTGTATGTGTATGCTCTGTTTTGTGGGGGAAGCATTCAGATAGTGTGTAGTACTAGCTCATAATTTTCATTTTCCTACTGGCTAACAAGGCGTTCTGGTGGCATAGTGGGATGAGGGTAGGACCGCTAACTGAGCTGATGGTTCACAACCAGCAGTGTTCCTCAGAAGAAAGATGTGGTAGGCTGCTTCTGTAAAGTTTACAGCCTGGGAAACCCCAGGGCCATTCTACTTTGCCCTAGAGGATGACTATGAGTTGGACCTGACTTGTTGGCAGTGGGGAACGGCTAGTATAAATACCCCTTTGTTTTAATATATATTACTTTTATTGCACTTTAACCTAAGCTTGTTATTTTTTAAAATTGTTTCTTTGTGCATTTTTTGTAAACATGAGATGCAGATTCATTACTGAGTGTTAGGCATTCAATTAGGTCATATTTTCATCTGATCCACACAAAAACCCAGTGAATGAATGATTAACCTTATTTTATTAAAGAGCTTAATTTTCAGAAAGGAGAATAGTTAGCTTACATTTATTTGCACAGCGATAAGTATCAGAATTTGAAACCAGGTCTCTTACTGGACAATCTAATCTTTTCCTATTTATAACACTGTCCAATTTACCAACCTGGATTATATATATATTTTAAGTTTTAATGAGGTTCTTATGTAATTCTTATCTTTCTTGCTGCTTTATAGGGGTTTATTTTCAATGTGTTCTATTTCCAGAAATAAGGATCTATTTATGAATTTTGTTCTACTCCATTAATTTGTCATATTGTGAAACAACATCACATGATTTTGATTGTGATTGTTTTATTATTACTTATTATTTTTGAATGCTCTAGCCATCTCAGTTGATTGGTGACATTTTATATCCCACAGCAGCACTTAGCCATGCTGAGACCAATGTGTAATATAGAGCGTAGAGCTGAGGCCAGGAAATATTTTAACAGAAAAACGATTAATTTTTGTGACATGGGAGAAGAAGGGTCATTAGTTACAGAGATGTGTCATTCAACAATCTTTATGGGCACTCAGTTTGTGTTGGCACTGGGAATATGAGAATTATGCTGCATAACCTTTGAAGTAAGATGATGTGGGGTTAAATCCTAGTACCAGCTCTTACTAACTGCTGGTTACAGACACATAAATGTCCTCTTGTGTGTTATAGGAAAGTTACAAGCTACCTTGAAGAGCTATTGTGTTAGTTAGAGATTTTACCCTACTGGGAACAATTAAAGTGTGCAAAAATAGAAAAACGGCTAAGTAAATGATGATGTATGCACTATGGCTTTTCTCATGATTACACTCAAATTAAAATGATAAAAGCCACACTGTAGAGTACGACTAAAATGTCAGGTTGGAAATAAAGAAGAACTCACAATCTATCTAGAGAATGATGCTCAGTCTAGTTAACAAGCAGTCATATGGCTAAACATTGTAATAAAGTTAACAATAGATGGATTAATAAAATGAATGGCTTTCTACCTTTCATTTTCAGTGTATTGTGATGGTAACACTATTTGAATTAAAGTTCGTTTTGTTAACTAGGATGTGGCCTCGGTATATTAAAGTTAGATTTTAATGGTTCCTTTTGGGTATTCTTAGTTGATCTAAGAGATAAGGTCATTTAATTTCACAAGTGAACGTAATTGCACATTAGTAATTCTTGTGAGTTTTAACACAATATTCTCCTGTTACTAATACCCATGAAATAAATTATCATAGCTCTGGCATAAATTATTGTCCATTCATGATATAGTCACACATACACAATTTAATAAACACTTTCTAACATTTCATGAATTCCAACACTGCTCAAAATACATAGTAATTCTTACCACAGGTCTTCTCTCTGATCTGTGATGGGTAATACAATGATTCAGCAAGCTGTCTTCATCCAGTTCCCTGTCACAAAATGGACACATACACCTGGAAGTACCACACAACAAGATCTTGCTAAAGTTATTGACAATTAAATAGTAGCCACTTTAACCCGACACAAAGAATAGGATTAGGTAATTCTCCTTGCTAATCTTCAGTTTTTTCTCAAATTTGATATTGTAGTGCCTAGATTTTTTTTCTTATGCGAACTGTAAATGTGTACCCTAGACAGGAGGAAACTAGGTGACCCGGTGGTTAAGCATTTGGCTGCCAACTGCACAGTTGGCAATTCAAACCCACCAGACACTTTTTGGAAAAAGAAGTGGCAGTCTGCTTTTGTAAAGAATGCAGTCTTGGAAACTCCATAGGGCAATTTTACTCTGTTCTATAGGGTCACTATGAGTCAGAATCCTTCACAGGGGCATAAGCAAAGAAATCGTTCAAATAATTCAGAGGACTTGAAGCCCAGTATTCTCTTTGGAGAGAGCACAGATGAACTGAGAAGGTGGAGATGACACCATCTATCTGTCCTTGGGCTATCTTTTTCTTCCTCCCTTTCTTGATTCAGGTAACATCTGAATAGGTATTACTTGTTCTCTATCGCCACTAGAATATATAAAGAGTTAACACAGTCTAAATATTCAGACTTGCCTGTTCGTTCCCTACCCACAACCCTCACTGCCATCAAGCTTTTCCGAGCCCTGCCAACCCTATTAAAAACAAAAACGAAACTCCCTGCCATTGAGTCGATGCCGAATCCTCCCAACCCTCTAAGACAGGGTGGAACTGCCCCTGTGCGTTTCTGAGACTAACTTTTCACAGGGGTAGAAAGCCCCATCTTTCTGCCGCGGAGCCGCAGGAGGTTTCGAACTGCTGACCTTGAGGTTCGCGGTCTATTGCATAATCACGCCTCCAGGGTTCCTTTAGCAACCTTATAAAACAGCATGAAACTGCTCCCTAGTGTTTCCGAGACTGTACAACTTTGTGAGGACAAACGGTTTCACCTTACTCTTGTGAAGGGGATGGGGGGTGGGCCCAGTGACCTACAGTTAGTGCTTAGCTATTGCACCGACAGAGCTTATAACTCAAGGTCACTGAGCCGGTTCCCACTCACAGAGACCCTAATGAGGGTTCTGAGACCGGAAGTCTTTACTGGAGCAGAAAGCCTCCTCTTTATCCTATGGAGCGGCTGGTGGGTTTGAACGGCTGATTGTAATAGCCCGATGCTCACGGTATTGTGCCACCAGAGCTCTGTATTAGTAGCCAGGGAAGAATGAAAATAATTTGTTTCAGGCTCACAGCTAACCAGAAACTAATTTGTCAACTTTTTCAGGGCAGGTAAAAGTAATTTATCCCTTCCATCGAATACTAGCCATTAGCCATCTTTGTCTGCTTTGAGCACTTGAACATGACTTGTGCAAACCAAACTGAGACGCGCTGGATGGAGAAAACCGAAGACTTAACAAAAAGAAGAGTATGTAAAATATCTTACACACCCTTACATAGAAATAAATAGAGCATGTAAAATAATTTTGATATTGATAACATGATAATATTTTGGTCATATTGGGTTAGATAAAGCAGACTAAAATTAATCTCATCTGTTTCTTTTTACTTCTTTCAACGTGGCTACTATATAGTTAATGGACAGTGGTGCCTTAAATTCCTACAGTCAATATGGAGTCTTGAAATATTTTTGCTCACTTTCTATTATACATGTAACTTCTTGCTTCAAGCTCCCTATATAGAAATTTTTACAATTTGCATCATGGAGTAAACACTTCAATAAGGCAAAAACTTCTATTTGAAAAGCAAACATTAACTACCTTTTTAAGGCTGATTAATTGACAACCTGTTCCATTTTGCTACTTTATTCTTTATTATTATATTCTAAGCTGTAGAAGAAATTAGAATTTAAATTAGTTTTCACGGGTTTAAAAATTTCATAAAAGCCATAAAATTGTCAGTCAAACCTTCATACTTAAAATTGCCAATCTTTATTAACTTTTTTTCTCTTTCACTCCTATTGAACTTTGGGGCCAACCAAATCTACATGTTGCATTGTAGCTAAAATGAAAGCATAAAATACAAAATGAATCTTCTCACAACTGAAGGTATATTTTCAAAATAATTCTCTAGAAACCTAATATCCTAGACTATTTTTATAAATATTAAAGACATTAAAATTCTAGTAGAACAAAATAAATGCTGATCATTAAGACTTTTAAGTAAGAAATTATAAGCTATATTTAAAAGTAGATAACAGAGCTAACATCTTTTTTCAGGAGAGGGAAAGAAATTTCAAAAAAACAAAAAAACAAAAACAGAAATTTCACAAATACTGATTACTACTATTAAGTAGCCAAGTTTATAAGTAGATTTGATAGTTTCAAAGCTATCGACCTATATAGGAGAACACAAATAATTTCTTTCATAGGACCAGAAGCCAAACTTTCAGCTAAATTATCCTTCTGAAAATAATATTAAGGACTCATTTATACTTTTGTCCCCTCCCTTAAAAAAAAAAGTTAATCAATATTCTCCACCCACCTACTACTAACCACCTTCATCCTTTAACCCACTGCTGATAAGGTTATTTTCTATCAGAAAAACAGAATTCAGAACTCCTGTCCCAAGTTTATCCTTCTCATGTTAAAGTATACTGAGATGGTATTTCCTTCCAGCGAGACCAGAGGGAATGGACTGGGGAACTAAGGGCTGTAGATGCAAGAGCAAAGTGAATTAAGTTCTTAACTGTAATCGACTTCTGGAATCAGTAAGTCAGAAGACAGTCAGGCAGGCATTTACCAGTTCTGCATTCTATTTTGGATTTTCCTTAATAAAACTTGTTTGAGGAAGTTACTCCAATCTCTCCAGTATGTGATCACTTCTTTTCACAAAAAGTGTTGAGAGAAAAAGAATTCTTCAACAATAATTACTATTATCAGGTACTATGGTTAAAGTCTAAGCATAACTTCAAAGATATTCTCATAATAAAAATTACTTGACTTGACAGCTCAATAAATTGTCTACAGAAATAGCAACATTAGCAATAAACTGTATTGTACTGAAACAAACCTTGTCTCCCCAAGCTCTTGTATGGGTCCATATTTATCTATATATTGTTTGCAAGTCTTTATGTGCGCCCTCATTTCGCTGAGGCAAACCTATGTAAAAGCAAATTCAAAATCAACTCACTGTTCAAAGGGGCTCAATGAAATCTTGTGATCCAGCTTTATTACTTTCACAATGTCAAGTAATGTCATACTGTGAGATCAGTGGTTTAAAGGGGTGTCTTCATGACAACAGTACCCCCAAATTAAGGCATTATCTAGAAATATGTCTTTTAAAAATTTGCCCAATAGTTAAAAGACACAAGTGTTGAGTTCCTGTATTTGGTTCTTCAAAAACCTTGTTGGTTTACTTGTTTGTTTTTCAAGTGCAAAAAAAAATTAACTCAAGACTTCATTGTTTTGGATGCCAATATCTACGTCATGTGTGGAAATCAGGAAATGAGAAAGTAAACAGGGGAGGAAAAAAGAGTAAGAGGGAAAAAAAAGAAGAGACAGGAAAATGGAAAACAAAGGTAAAGAGAGTAAATTGAATACATTTTAGAGCTGTCCATAGGAAGTAAAAAGAAACCTATGCCTAGGGAAAGATATAAATACCATGGCTTTATAATATGGCCAGCAGTCAGTCCTGCATGGCTTCACAAGACACAGAATACTTAACAGCCCCATGAAGAGTGAACATGAAAGACAACTCTTACAGCCCATTTTTATCAGCACAGAATAGAGAGCCCTTGTTCCTCCACATGTACTCACACGTCCTAAACATGAGAGAGCGGTTGCAAACAGCATATACGTAGTCTACTAAATGTGTCCTTAGAAACTCTGATAAGATCTTTTGCTGCAGGCTGCTTTCTACAGTTGTGGTTGGCGGCAGACCCACTTGGCTTCATTTTGCACAGGTACGGAAGTTCAGCCTCAAACATGAAATGTACTGTATCAAAGAAACAGAATTGTCTAACCAAAGACAAAGGGGGAAACAGGCTGAAACGTAGAAACAAATCGCTGCTTTATAAATACCCACCTAAAAATTGAACACTAGGACCAATCTTGGTAAGGAGCTTAAAAAACAGACTGTTTTACAACCATTAGCATTGAACTTTGTCTATCAGTGCGCTCTCGTCTTTTCCTATTCCTACTGGGAGTGTTTTTCTTTCTCTTTGCGTTTATTACACAGCACTCTTCACATGGATCGTCAACGTCAGGATTAACTACTGACAAATGAATTGACAAATACATAGAGCAGCTTTATGCACAAAATTATGTCAGCCATTTTGAGAGACAATAGAAGCAAAGTACGCCCTGGTCTCCTAAAATGATTTATTAAAATTAAAAAAGAAAAAAAGGTGTTTAATCATCTAACAGAGGAAAAATGTGGTTAAGAAAGTGGCATAGGGTAGTGGGGAACCTAGAAAAAATACTAGATAGAATCTAAGTTGGCTACAGGTGAGCAGCACACCTAGCAAGAGAAATTGCATAGAAAGAAAGAGGCAAATCCAAGAAGTACCTGAAAAAAAAAAATCAAAGTTCTTCCTTCTGATTAATCAGAAACAGAGGTTAAAAAAACAAGAAGGGGATTTCCACCCAGGAGAATAGAGAAGATGTTTTTGTTTCTGACAAAGACACCAAAGATGGTAATTTTACACATGGATCTTATATGATGAAAAAATGTCTATCCAAGTGCAGTGGAATGAAATTTCTTAATATGGCTCTTACACCTGAGTCTCTGTAACTCCCACCAAGTGATTGGGAGGGTCTATGCAAAGAGGATGTGCATAACACTAATAGAGTGGATTGGTCAGTTTTTGTTACCATGCTCCTGGCTGTAAGGATGAGCCATCCTTGTTGAGGTGGGAGAAACCCAGAGGACCTTTAGAAGAGCACATTCAAGAGATGGTGGAGGCCACAGACACCAGATGCATCACAGACTGGCACAGAGACTGTCAGGGTACCTTATCCTTATCTCACCTGGAACTATGGAACTGTGGAACAGAGTGACAGGTGGGATGACTTCCTGGCCCATGGAAGCAAAGGCCAAGGGACCAGTGGCTGAAAGACTAAGAACTGGACAAAGACTTGGCTGTAACTAAGAAAACCATTGACTGTATGCTATTGTTTGCTAATCCTGATTTGTGGTAACCTATTAGCTTCCCTAATAAACCCCTATTTTGAGTATTGTCTGTGAGTTCTGGAGGGCTATTGCAACAAATTATTGAACCCAGCATAGAAACAGAGTAGGTGGGAGGTATGATGGTAGTAGAATAGGCAAAGAAGGATGGACCATGGAGGCCTGTCTGACTCCTGATTCCTTATGGGAATAGGGAAGCCACAGAAGTCAGATATATCCACTTCCATGCTGTGTATTGCACAAGTAGAAAAAGCAATAATCTCTTATTAATGATTAAAAATCTGATTTTGGCCTTTTACTATGTTGTAGACACTGTGCTAAAAAGCATATATATATGCTTTTTTCTCCCCACCCCATATTATTACAACCACCTTGTAACATGAATGTTCTTTTCCCCGATTTTACAAAGAAGTAAGCAAAAATTTAGATTAGTTACCCAAGCCAGCAAACCAGAAGTAAGGGAATATGTTTTGATTTTAGAACATCTGGTTGAAAAGACCAGGCATAAATTCTATAGTCAAGTCACCAGGAATAGATTATAGAGTCTTATTTAAATATACTAACCTATTCCTCGTTTACTGGAATGGTTAGGTTGCAAAGACAAGATCATTCTACAAAATCTACATGAGGAAACAGACTGGCCAGGTGACAAAGTAGAGAATGACGACATAATTACATAACTGCCAAACCACTGAGATTCCTGTCCAACCAAACTGACACACAATTTTAGCCATCACAACTAGGTAATGTGATGTATATTCTTAATGTGTAAACAGATAGTAGATATTTTTACTATTGTCACATATGCAAAATGTTAGATAGTGAGACAATCATTAAGTGAGGAGCAGGTGTATTAAAAAAATAATCTTTGAGTACTTACACAATGTGCTGGTTACTTTTTAAGGTGCTAGATACTAATGGAGGTATGCATACCTTAGATTAATGAACCATTTGAGATCAAAAGGGCAGCATTTACTCAAGACAAAGTTCAAAAGACTTAGAAAAGGATGAATGGAAACAGCAGAGACAGGGGGAAAGCAGGATAAGGGATGTTACATTATGGGGCTTGCAATTAATAACATGAAGCAAAATATATATGAATTGTTTATGGAAAATTGATCTACTTTATAAACTTTGATCCAATTCACAATAAAAAGCTTAAAAAAGACAAAAGGTGCTGGATACATAGTTAATAATTTTAAAAAGATGATGATGAAGAAAAAAATAGACTAGACGCCGTCCCCTACACTCAAAGAATTTAAATATGGTGAGGATAAGTGATATTAATCCATAAAAGCATAACTGTAAATGGTTATAATTAGTACAATGAAAAAGTACAGGATGCTAAGAAAATGGGACTTTTTATTTAATGATCAAGAAAGGTTCTTGAAGGGAATTCAGATCCTCAGTACCAATAGCTTCAGTAAGCTTTTGGTCTCTAGAATGGTATACCTAAATACTCTTAGCAACTCTACAGGGAAGCTCAAACTTAACCTCTGTAGAACTTAGCTTTGGAATTCATCCCCAAGCCTCCCCGGCCCCATATTATTACCTTGACATCCCCATATCAGAAACCTAGGAGGCATTTGTGACCTTCCAATCTCATGTAGCCTCACATCCAGTCAGTTACCAAATGCCAACAATTCTACCTCCTGCGCAGCTCCTAAGGCAGCCTCTTATTCAACATCTAGGGTGACCACCCTAATCCAGACTTCTTGTCTGACCTATCAGTAATCGTCACCTAACTGGTTTCAACAATCCCATTCTTCACCACTCCAAGCCATTCATTCTTTATATAGATGCTAAGCTTAAAAATATATACCAGATCGCTGCACTCTAAACCTTACATTCTGTATGTCACACACTAGTATATTTAGGACAAAACCCAAGGTATCTAGGTACATGGCCTCTATGATCCCACATGATCTGAACAGGTTAAAATCACAGCAAAGAAAATTGCAAAACAGACGAAGTGATCAATAGAGATAAACACGGCAAAGTCCAGAATAATGTATGAAGAAATATGCCACTGGGTTTGGTAATAAGGATAGTATCAAATGAGTTGCAATAGAGGACACAATAGGGACTTGCAGGGGTAAAAAGAGGCAATGGAGGGGGTCAACAAAAATATTTGAAATGTTAGGAGATGTTGTAAGAGTCAGGTAGGATGGTCAGAGGAATAGATGAAATGATTAGCTGCATAAACAGTTTTTCTGGGGCCTAACCTAGTAACCATGAGCACAGAAAGGGTCTCATACCAGGGTGTTGCATTCAGTGCAGTTCTGGTACTCCGACTTCATTCTTCTGGCTACATCAGTGGCTGGCACTCCCTCGGAAGGAAGATATGCCCGGCAATAAGGGCAGGTCCACTTATTGTTCTTTACACTGGTAGCAATACAGGAACGGCAGAACCTACCCAAAACAAACCAAGGGCACATCACTTCGCTGCAAATGTGCAAAGGAGACCCCACTGGTCCATTGCCTAGAGAGGCTCTTACCTCATTGATTGAGACTGTTTGGGGATCCTGTAGCCCCAGCACATGCACTGCATGCATTTCAACCGAAGTAAGAATAGAACCAACATGGGGGAAATAACAGCATTAAAACCAAGACGCAAATGTTATCCATTGTGTGCGTCCTTTTCCTTCACCCAAATTTATCTCAAGATTTTTGGACAAATAGGCCTTAACTGTGTGGAATTTTGTGTTAGAAAAGAAAAGAGCAGTTAAGTGAGGAGGTGAAAATAGTAGGCACATTAAAATGCTTTACAAAAGAAATTTAAAGTCATCTCCAGATACAGAAAATTAACTAACCACTGTCAGGAATAGCCTTCCAGTCAAATTGATTCTCTGGATTATTGAAAGATGTTAACACACAAAAAAAATCTTGATACAACCAACTCACGTCACAGAAAAGTTTCATCTACTGATTGGAGTTGTTGAAAGCTAAGTACCCACAGAAGAAAAATGAACTTTTAGATGTTATATACATGTGAGGGGGTACCCACACTCACCCACCCCAAAATGGAATTTTCCCCTCAAAGTGATGTATTTAATTAAACAAACAAACAAATAACCTATCACCTTCACAGTACTCTCCATTACACTTAATATATTTGTCATATCTGCAATTCCATTCTTGGAAACATTTTTCAACTCTGCATCTGTTTGGATGGCTGACAGCACCTCCCTTTTTTTTTTCCTCACCTCTTTTATGTCATCAAATTGTTGTCCTTTCATGTCCCTCTTCATTTATGGAAACAAAAAGAAGCTGCACAGAGCAAGGTCAGGTGAGTAAGGTGTGTGGGGCAAGAGAGGCATACTGCTTTTTTTGCCAGAAGCTGGCGCACTGACATGGTTGCGTGAGCAGGTGCATTATCGTGGTGGCAACACCAGTCTGCCATCTGCCACAAATCAGGTCTTTTCTGATGCATAGTGTTACACAATATTGTCAGACCCTCTAAATAGAAAGGTTCATGAGCAGTCTGACCTAGTGGAAAGAACTCCAAATGCACTATGAGTCCACATTTGCATCCATTTGGAAAGTTGACAGACATCCAGAGAGAGGTTTGTCATCAATCAACATTTCACCTTTTTGAAATGAGAAAACCAAAGAAAAAGAAATGAGAAAACCACTGGTACACTGAGTTTTTTCCCAAAGTGCTGCCCTTGTAAGCTGTGTTAAACATCACAACAGTTTCTGCAACATTTTTCCCGAGCAGGAAACAAAATTTCAGAGCCCCATGTTGTTCCCTGAAATCGGCCATCACAAAAAACGAGGTTTGATCAAAACTGATTTTACAAAAAAATTCACTGTGACCAGAGAGAACCTTCCCAGGTGACGCCACTGATATGCTAACTCAGAGTGAATTGCTTGATGCTCACCTAGAGGGAAAAACTCATATTACCAAAGCTCCACTCTGCCCAGTGCTATTCTGTTTTTTGGGGGGAGCCCCCTCATATGCTGTCATAGACTGAAATATTCCTGCCCCAAGTTCCCCCCAAAACATATATATGTCAGGTTGATTGGATCATGATTCTTAGTGGTTTTCCTTAATGCAATGATGTGGTCTGATGCAATCAACTGATGGACGATAGAGGGAGTAGGGTGTGTTGTGATAGCCTTACTCAAGTCACAGCCCTGATCAGATGTAAGGGGAGTCTCTTTGGGGTGTGGCCTGCATTACCTTTTTATCTTACATGTGGTAAAAAGAAGGAGAAGTAAGGAGAAGAAATACCTCAATATCACCAAGAAATAACAGTTGGGAGCGAGGCCTTTGATCCTGTTACTGACAACCCCCTAGATTTAGGGAAAGATTGATGCCAAGGCACATGGAAGTCTCTAAGGGAGAATGAGGAGCAAGGGATGTGGAACAATGGATATCATTGTTAATGTTGGATCCATCTTGGCTGAAAGCAGAGGATACCAGAAAGATCTTTACTTACGTTTCCTTTAATATGCAAAGACATTTGACTGTGTGGGCCATAACAAAACAAACAATGGATACCCCTGAGAAGAATGGGGATTCCAGTACACTTAATTGTGCTCCTGTAAAACTTGTTGGATCAAGAGGCAGTTGTGCGAAAAGAACAAGGGTATATTGCCTGATTTAAAATCAAGAAAGATGTGCATCAGGGCTATATCTTCTCACCATACGTATTCAATCTGTATACTGAGCAAATCATCAGAGAAGCTGGGTTATACGGAGAAGAATTCGACATCAGGGTTGGCAGAAAGTTTATAGCTACCCTAGATCTCCAGATGATACAACCATGCTTGCTGAAAGTGGCTTGAGTCATTTGCTGATGAAGAGCAAGGATGGCAGCCTTCAGTATGAATCACAACTCAATGTAAAGATGACCAAAATCCTCACAAGTGGACCAATAGGCAACATCATGCTAAATGGAGAAAAGGTTGAAATTGTCAAAGATCTTTCTTGCTTGGATCCACAATCGATGCTCATGGATGCAGCAGTTAAGAGACCAAAGGATGCATTGCTTTGGGAAATCTGCACAAGATTTTTGTTCAAAAGCAAAGCTTCTCCTTTGAGGCCAAAGGGGAGCCTTACCCAAGCCATATTATTTTCCATTGCCTCACAGGCGTGTGAAAGTTAGACACTGAATAAGAAAGACCAAACAAGAATTGATGCATTTGAATTGTGGTGCTGGTAAAGAATATGGAAAGTACCACGGACTGCCAACATGACAAACAAATCTGTCTTGGAAGAAGTATAGCCAGAGGCAAGGATGGTGAGACTTGGTCTTACATCCTTTGGGCATGCTGTCAGGAAAGACCAGTCCTGGAGAAGGGCATCATGCTTGCAAAGCAGAGGAGCACCAAGAGAGACGGCCCTCAAGGAGATGAACTGACACGGTGGTGGCTGCAACAATAGGCTCAAGCATAGGAACAATTGTGAGGATGGCACAGGACCAGGCACTGTTTCCTGCAGTGGTGCAGAGGATCGCAGAGCCAGAACCAACTTGGTGGTACCTAACAACAATATGGCGGGGATGCTGAGGCCAGGAGATGTTATTGACATGGGAAAAGGACTTCGCTCCAAAGCCAACAAAGAAGGAAACCCTCCTTTTAGAATTGACACACAGAAGTTGGACTTCTAGCTTCTGAACTGTGGGAGAATACACCACTCATTTGTGGTGTTTGTTATAAGCAACCAAGACACATACTAAAAGGAGTCCTGGTGGAGAGAGGGTTAAGCACTCAGCTGCTAACCAAAAGGTTGGGAAGTGGAGCCTGCCTAGAGGCTGTGTGGGAGCAAAGTAAAGCAATCTGCTCCCATAAAGATTACAAGCAAGAAAATGCTGTGGGGGCGTTCTGCTGTTACAGAGGTCACTACGAGTTGGAATTGACTCGACAGCACCTAACGACAACATGCATTTTGAAAAGTTCATATATCATGGGCATATGAAACAGTTCGATGAGTTTTCACAACTGAAAATTGTGAAATTTATGGGAATACCCAAATAACCAACACACATTAAGAGAACAGGGCCAGTCCCCAGAATTTCTCCCTCTGCCCCCTTCCAGAGACAATTCAACCCCTTCCAACATTAGACTCCCAACAGCACAGACTAGTTTTGTCTATTTTTGTATTTTATGTAAATGGAAATCAGATAGTATGTACTCTTTTGCGTCTGCTTTCTTTCTTTCTTTCTTCCTTGCTTTTTTTCAAACTTTTTTTTAATTGACCATTTATTTGAGTGTTCTTACAGATATTATAACAGTCCATAAATCAATTATACCAAGCAAACTTGTACAGATGCTGCCACCATCATTTTCAAAACATTTTCTTTCTACTTGAGCCCTTTGATCTCAGCTCCTCTTATTCCCCCTCCAACCCTACCACCCTCATGAACCTTTACAAATTATATATATATATGTATATATATATATTTTTTCCATATCTTACACTGATGTATTCCTTAACCCACAGTTCTGTTATTCGTCTCCCTCAAGAGGGGTTAGGCATCCATCGTTGCTATCAGTTCTCCTCCTAACACCACCTGGATCGCTTTCTTTAGCTCAATACTGATCACAATTTTGTGTGTAGTTGAGATATTCCATTCTCATTTTATAAAGTCTGTTACCCACCTTTCTTTTGTTGATGAGCATTGGAGAAGCGCTTAAATGCTTTTGGACATTCAAAGTTTATTAATGGGCAAGCAGAGTTATTTTGCAAACCATTCTTGTTCTTTGTCTCCTTAAGTGAATGATGAAATTTAAAGAAACTTGTGATACATCTTAACATCTGCTTGAGCAGCATGTAAGTATGTGTATCTTTGCCTGACAGGCAGACTTTGCTGTTGATTTCTGAAGGGTCTTCGTGAAAAGCTTGATAATGGTCTAGTTTGGGGTTTTGATAACAAAACTTTAAATAATTCCTTAAAAGCTCATTTAATAGATAAGTAACTTTAACCTACGGTTAAAAAATAAGTCTTTGGAACTGCTTATCTCCTATAAGAATGAAAGTACATTTATGGATCTGTTTAACTTTTAGTTAGAGATAACTAACTGAGTTTACTAGTCATCCCTCCAAACGAACCCAAACAAACCCATTGCTGTTGAGTGAATTCTGATTCATAGGGATCCTATACAAGAGAGCAGAACTGCCCGTATAGTTTCCTAGGAGATAATTTTTTACAGGATCATTTTATTGGGAGCTTGTAGAGCTCTCATCACAATTCATCCATCCATCCATTGGTCAAGCACATTTGTACATTTGTTGCCATTATCATTTTCAAAACATTTTCTTTCTACTTGAACCCTTGGTATTGGCTCCTCATTTTTCCCCTCCCTCATGAACCCCAGATAATTTATAAATTATTATTATTTTTTCATGTCTTACACTAACCGAAGTCTCCCTTCACCCACTTTTCTGCTGTCTGTCCCCCTGG